GAAGGATTTAAGCACTTAATTTAAAACATGCTTGGATTTACAGAAAATTGGTTTTAAGTTACAATGAACTTGTGATATCAGATGATTTAGACTCATATACTAATTCTAATGAACGAAAGAGTAGAATTGAGATGACTTGAGATAAGGTCTGTTTTTTTTCTAGCGCGGTTAAAACATCATTCGAATAAAAGTGACCCGTATTTTGACCCGTACTGATTAAGAGTAATGAACGTAGTGAGTACTCTTATATAAGTCTTGGCGATTTTTTAATTGTTTTTTTTTTTCAGGAAAAGTCTTATAACTTGTTCACGCTCAATTTTGATTTTCACGGTTTGATTTTGGTATTTTTAGTTCACTTCATTTCGTTTGTTAAAAGCAAAGCAAACTCCCCTATCGAACATCAAAAATGTAAATGTCACGGAAAAAGTGATCGACTTCTAAGTTCGAAAATGGAAATTATTTATCAGATTTTGCAGCGAAATAAAAACTTTTTCCATTCATTAATTTTTCTCGAGTTGGTTTAATTTCAACAAATTCTACAACTCAAAAAAATTTTAAGGTCATCTAGTTCTTTCGAAATTCAAAAATAAAAATTTGTTCTGAAAACAAGTTAGTTTTTTGTTCAAATTCATTGCGTTCATTACTTTTTTCCAACACAAAAAACTGCTCCTATCATTTTTCATCATTTCCCCTTATGCTATTAAGAGTTGATGCACGTAGCTCAGACTCTTAAACAGATCGTGATGTTTTTTTTGCTGTTTTGAAGGCAAACTTCAGTTGAAGGCAAACTCTGCTATCGAACACTGAAAACTAGAGAAAACTTCGCGATCTTTAATTTATATTTTGATGATTTCTTGTTGATAAGTTTTGCACCTCGAGTGCAATAAAAACAATAATGTAATTATGTAACTTTTTTCTACGCTCCCCTTTCAAAGTTTTTGAGCCCCGCTTCTGCTTCTACATGAAAAGGTTTCTGAAATTTGTTTGCCGTTTTTACTGTTGTGCATAATCGATGCTTGACCCTTGACCATGTTTTTTGTTTTTCTGACTCCCCTTCCTCATAAAGTGTTTTCGTTTTCTTAAAGAGCCTTTTTTCAGTTCTGCGAATGTTCGCCCAAAATAATTTCGAAAATTTTATTTTTTCTTGGGTTGCTGATATTTGTATAGCTTTCTACCATTTTTGGTCGACCTGGGTTGGTTCAGTTGTATTGGTTTATAAACCAAGTTAGCAACTGTTAGCAGTTTTTCAGCTACCGAATCTTGGATTCTCAAGTTTTTTTTGCCTAAGCTTTCCGAAAAGACAAGTATAGTAAAAAAAATGCCGATAAGTCAAAGCAAGTATTCGGCTTGAAAAACTAAAATGACTGTTCTGTAAAAAAAAACTTAATTTTGCGTTGTTTTTTGGGGAAAATTTGGTGCGTGAATTAGAACTTTTCCCATAAGAAAATTACAAGATGGCGCAAATAACCTTGAAAACTAAAAAGAAGTTCTAAAATGTAGGAATTTTGTAGAATGGTCAACCCGGGTTTGAGAAAATAACAACAAGGTTAATTTTTGGCAGTATAATACAGTACAGTCTCCCGTTGTTTTCACAGCTGCCGACGGTTTGTGCAAAGAGATGGGGCAAAAAGTGGACAACAACTGCAGTTTCTTCCATTACACCGCTTCTTTCTGCCAGAAAAATGGAAAAGAGACCAAAACTGTGGATTTACAAAAGGACAATTATGTGGTGTCTCAGGTAGCACGTGAACACTGTCCAATGACAGTTCAGAAGAAGAAGTATTTCTACAATCAGTGTACCTTCGATTGAACTATATTTTGAAAAATAAGTCACAAATAGTGAGCCATATCAAAATAAAGTAATGCTCTGGAATGTCAGTATAGTTATCGTTTTTGAGATTTATTTAGAGTTGATCAAAATAACAACTAATATTCAAATGTAGAAATAGCTATTGTAATTAAAGTACCATTTGTGGGGTCCAGACATACCAATGCTCTGGATTCCAGAGCATTCTTTTATTTTGATAAGGCTCATTTGTTGTGAAATTTCTCATAAATTAATCATAAGTTAAGCCCTGCAATTTTATTTTCACGATTGC